TCTCTATTATGAAAACAGAGAATTGAATTTTGAGTTTAAAGAAATTTGCAACGAGTCTTGAAAAGGAGGAGATGCAATCTTTATTGAGTCAAAAGTCTGAGGAAATTACATGTATTTTGCTACCCATCTTTACTCGTGAAAGACAAAGATATCAGAAACTTTCCTTTTCTTAATAAATAATATTTAAAATTTGTAATTAGCATTTTTTTACAACAATCTTGTTAACAGTTAAATTTGAGAATTTCATTAAATAAGTTAATAATTTAATTTTTTTAACACTATCTCCTAACATTAATTCTTATGTCAGTGAAAATTGTTGATTTTGCAATAATTATTATTAAAATAATATTCATAATGAACTATAATAATTTGACAGTCTAAAGATCTTTTTATACTGATAGTGCACTATATTCTTATTGGTAATATTTAATTAGCATTGTTAGCAATAGTTATTATATATTTTTTATGACAAATAAGTACAATTTAAAGAGATTGTTGCCTTTATTACTTGTACTAATTAACTTCAAAGATGAATGTAAATGATATATATTCATGTCATGGTTTTATTTTAACTAACCATGATACCCATACTTTGTAGTTACTTACATTTTTTTAGTATAAATATTTAAAATATAAGATATAAAATATAAAATAATCTTACAGTAATTCTAAATTTAAATTTTTTTTCTCTTTATTTATATATAGGTGTGAAATTTTATAGAAAAATTATTAAAAAAATACAGAAATAGACCCATCTACATTTTATTTATCCAAATAGACCTAAATACTGTATCAAAATTTTACAATTCAGAATTCGGCTAGGAACCGAATTCTGACTTAGCACATATTTTTTGTTTTTAAATTTAATTTTATATTTTTATATAATAAAATAAATATTATTATTTAAATTATATTTATATATTTATATTTTGTTAAAATAAATATTTATAAATATTTTGTTAATTATATATAATAAAATAAGTTTTATTATTTGAATTATGTTTATATTTTTATATTATTTGAAAATGAATAAAAATAATAATAATATTTATTTTACATGTTTATTAAAATTTATTTTACATATTTAAGATAATAAATAATATTTTGAGTATTTGCTTTTGACTGTGCATCTTGAATTACTTTAGTTGCAATCTCTGAGTGCATATGTCCAGCATTAATCATTACATCTAATTCCTTGCCTCTCTGTCAATGAAGAACTTATTGCAACGGGTGTATGTTACCATGACCATGAAGCAATTTGACAAGTTTCTAGTTTTCTTTAAGACAAAAGTGATTGACTCCGCTAGGTTTGTTGTCATGTGTCCCTAGCGTCGTTCGTTGTCCCATGTCAGTGTCTATTTTTTCCTTGGGATGTTGTCCAACCATTGTACAGTTTCAGGATTATTATCTTTTACTATGTTGTAATAGTAAAAGAATATTGGTTCAGTCATCCCATATGCTGAAAACAAGATTACAAATCAAATTAATATAACTAGCTAAACAATTGCATAAAATATTAATGATTTGAAGTCATCTCAGTATTGTGCCAGTCAAGAGAGAGTCATTTATTGGCTTTATGCTGAAATTGAAGTGGCTGAGAGACAACATGTTGCCATTACCAGAAAAATCATTTGAAGAAGAAATTCACGCCCATTGTAGGGCTTATATACTAGGTTTAATTGGAAGTGTTTTGATGCTTGACAAAACAGGCAATAAAGTACATCTTATGTATTTAGCTTTATTAACTACTCTTAGAAGAACAAGACGATATAGTTGGAGTTTTGTTTGTTTAGCTATGTTGTACATGGAAATGTGCAAAGCCATGAAAGTTGGTAGCAAAACAATGGGTGGTTGCTCATCACTGTTAATATCTTCGGCATGGTATCGCATGTCATATATCGCGCCAATTTCTAGTAATCCACCAATATACCCTCTCTGTGCAGATGGAGCGGGGGTAAAGTACTAAACTTTCAAAATAAATCTTACAATGATGTTGTAGGGTACAGATCAATGTTTGATCACATTCAAGATAATTAGGTAACTCTTCATATTTATTTACTTATCTTTTACACATCATCTTAAGTAACAAAGTTAAATTTATTTATACTTTTTCTTAGCGTCATATCAAGACTTGCAAACATCAATACCCATGGAAGCATATACAGATATTTAACTGTGGACTTCATGTACTGTCATCCTTTGTTTTGCAATTGTTGAATGACATTAAACAGATAGAGTCAAATTATAGTTTCGTCTCTTCCAAGAACTCCCTTCTCCACCAAATAATTTGAATGACCTCCACAAAATTGACATGAGAGGAAGATAAGATAAAAATTGGGTTACAAGACATGCTCAATAGATCAAGATATGGAACAACAGACGTGAACTGACAATAACATGTATGGAACAACAGATGTGAGCTGACAATAACAGATCATCCAATGCAAGGCCTATTGTGTCACACACAAAAATACATGGAATGGTATATTGCCAATTCTATCTATTTCCTATATGTGCCACCACTACTACAAGATCTAAGCTAGAAGCAAACATAATTAATACAAGATATTCGGTTGCAATAACATCAGAAGATTTTTTTACAAACTTATTTGGAGTTGATTTTACAAATCCATCTTCAACATAAACTTACATGCATTGTCTTTACCAACTGGATTTTGCTAATGAACCTGGTAATTTATCAAATGCATTCCAATAACTAAACCTTCATGATAATCCAAATCCTTCACAAATTCATCATGAAATCTCAGAGCAACAATCATAACGGCAAAACCCACCACATCACAGACGTCATCCTCGTTGTGGAACTAGTCACCATTATAAAAATAGTTAATTATTAATGTTGTTATGAATTTGTTATCATCTTTATTAATGCACTTTATCTTCATCAATATTACTTTAGTAATATAAAAATATTAATTTTAAAATATTTGTCTCAAGTATAAATAATTAACTTATAATTTAATATTTTATTTACTTTTTAAAAATAACTTTTTTATTCTAAAATAAAATTTATTAAAAATTATAATAGTAAAATTTTAGGATTTAAGGTATTAAAAATTATAATATTAAATAATATAATTTTAAAAAAACTAATTTAATTAAAATAAATTTTTTATTCAAAATATCATTTTATCATACTAATATTTAAAAATATTAATTCAAAATAAAATATTTAAATAAATAAATAAATAAAATAATATTTACAATTTTTATTTAATTTTTAAAAATATAATTATTATTCTTTAAGTATAAAAAATTTAAGCATTAACATTATTATGTAAAATAATATACTTATTATTTAGATATTTTAATTAATTTTTAAAAATATAATTATTATCTTAAACATGTGAAATTTTGTTTAATAAACATGTAAAATAAATATTATTTTTACTTTTATTCATTTTAAATAATATAAAATATAAACATAATTCAAATAATAAAACTTATTTTATTATATATAATTAAAAAAATATTTATAAATATTTGTTAGAATAACATATTATAAATATTTATTTTAAAAAAATATAAAAATATAAAAATAAATTTAAAAACGAAAAAAAAAAGTTAAGTCAGAATTTAGTTCCCTTGGAATCGAATTCTGAGTTGCAAAATTTTGCTACAGTATTTAGGTAAATAAAATATGGATGGATTTATTTCTGTATCTTTTTATTTTTTTAATAATTTTTCTATAAAAATTTTGATGGGTGTCTCTTGATACGTGTGTCTACGTCAAGACTATTTATTATTTTCTTTTAAATATTTAATCTAATTACTAAAATTTAAATTCAAAATCACAGATTAAATCAGAGCAACTTTGTAATAATTAATTTATGTATTTAATAGTATCTATTTATGTTTTAAAATTTAATTTTTAATATTAGCATTTAGATTTTTTGTTCTAGTATCATTGTAATTGCTACTTTTAATTGTTTAGTGTACTAATTTACACGGTCAATCAATCAAAATACACAGTTAATATGATTTTTATATTAATTATTATAAAAATTAATTCTTCTAGATATAAAAATTTATCATTAGATGATAATGTAAAAATCTTTACTCTATCAGTGTATTTAAATTAAACTCATTAATATTTAAAAATTTATAAATAATCACACTAGTGAACCACAATATTTTACTTGTAAATAAATGTTCATTAAATTAATTTTCATGAGTAAAGCTATGATTGAGATTTTCATTCAATTAATATTAATGAAGGTCATATTTATAATCATTTTTTTATTCGAAATGTTAAGAATTATTTGTGAGCTACGGGCTTGTGAGCTGGTCTATAATTGGGTTCAATAATTTAATGAAGCCCAGACAATTTACAATACCTAACAAAGCAACTAAAAATGATTGAAGTTAGGAAGGGAAAATTGATGCATGTGGACATTGTACAAGAGCAAAGAAGCTAATTCAGAAAAAAGTTAAATAACTAAAGCAAGTGTTATTAAAACTCACTTCAAAATACATTCTATACACACCTCATTATCACATTACAAAACAATTAACGCACAATTGATAAGATATTTTCTGTGAATCAAACAAAAATAATACATCAAGAAAGATTGGTGCAATTGTTAAGAACTGAATATGTATCTATAATGATATGGGTTTAAATTTCACTATTGATATAAGAACTTCTTCGCTGAGTGAGATCTGTAAGTATTCTGTAAAATTTTGCACTGTGGCTTGTTGTGACCCTAGTGCGTCCCTTCGACCCAACACACCAAAACTTTAACTTAAAAAGAATGGATACAAATTATATGCTTGAACACAAAAAGGAAAAAAAGAATTCCTCACAAAAACCTATTTTACTATACAACTTCACACACAACATTTATAAAACCATTTTGTGCTCACTTTGCTTTGCTTTTCAATAGAATCCAAAATGAAAAGAAAAATAAAAAAAATCAAACCATCATGTGCAATATGTATAAGTCAAATTAGAAAATGAATATTTGCTGAGATGAAATTTAGGCACTGCGTGCCAGCATCTCCTGGAATTCAAGCATTGACCTCTCTTTCTGAAGCCTCATATCTTCACGAAACTTGCTTATGAATTCTTCTGCCTTTTGATCCACGTGCAGCCGTGGAGACCTAGCAACCACAAGCTTCCATGCATCCTCTATGGTATTCAAGCCACTACTCTCACCAACCAAATTACCCTTGTAATTGTAATTGCCATGCACCTCTTTCTCTTTGCCTTTTCCACTTTCTCCTTGTGCTTTAGCAACGCTACTTCTAGCACTACTCTTGTTGGTGGCATGCACAGCCTTGTCGAAGAGTTCATCTATGTGTATGGCTGCAACATGTTTGTATTGAACATGGTAGTAAGAAGTAGCATATGGCCTAGTAGTGGTAACAGAGTGATGAAGTCTAGAGTGTATGAGATGACTTAGGGAATGAAAGCCTTGAAAGAGGCGTTGAAGGGTAGCTTTGATGGCCTTGGGAATGTTGAGTTTGTGGACTTTGTATTGGACGGTGTTGGAGAAACTGTTCCATGCCCTCTTGGCAGGTTGAAGTTTCTTTGCTATCCTCAACCGTGTCATCAATAAATGAATTTTATTTTATTTTTGGTTGATGATAGAAAGAGTTGGATTGGAAGAATGTGTGTTCAAATGGAGGGGTAGAACAATTAGAAATGGTTCTCAATCTCTTGAAGGAACCTTTGGTGCCCCATTTTAGTTTTTATATAATCACTTTGTTCTACGAGTTGATGCTAGCTTTTTGGTGTCTCCAATTGGCACATCATTTGTCAATAGAATTACACAAGTGCCATTGCTTTGATTTCCACAAGAACAGATGTGGAATATAGAGCCAAATATGTACATTGATGGCAGGAGTTGTAATATAATAAAATCTTAATGCTAAAGCATGTAATTTCCCACTTCAAGCTACTCGCTTTCGGCAGAAATGACAGCATGGAAACAACCTTGGGTGCTAAGTATGGTGAGAATAAGGAAAACTAAATTCTGTAAGACCAACATTGTAGGTTTTCCCATGTGGTGTGCTGGTATGCAACTTTTGGGTTGTGTTCTTGTGGGCTCCACTTCTATTTTTATAATGTAAAGGAAATAACATTTTATTCATTTGATACTTAGTTTGCCATTGGCATTGAGCAAAGATATAGATTTTATTATGAACTATGAAAATTTTATTAATATAATTAAATTTGGATCTTAAATACTATTTAAAAATTAGTTTTTCCAATTTCAATTTAAGAGCAACTATATTAGTCTCTTTTATCTTAATTTTTTAAATAACTTTGTTCATGCATAAATGCTTCTTTAGTTTGAAGTTAAATAAAATTAATTTTAGGTCACTAAATATAACTAGAACATGTGTATAAATTAATCTGAATTATATAATTTTACTAAAATATGTTTAATTGAAAAGTACAATAATTAATTTTTTCACTACTAAATAAACACATTCCAAGTATACTTGTAAATACAAATAACCGGCTCTTACTTTAAAAGAGCATATTTCAATTTCTTTTATTAGATTTAAATACTATTTTAATTCTTATATTAAATTGTTTTTTAAATAGTTCTGACCTTAATTTCTTTTACAAAATTGTTATTTTATATTTACATATTTGTATTGACTATTTTTCATTGTAGTTTGTTTATATAGTACAATTTTTATTTTATTCCTTATAAGAATTATATTTTTAATAACAGAAATCAAAATAACAAAATGTATTTTCATAAAGAAACCAAAATAAAATAAAATATATATATATAAGTATAAAAAAATTCACTATATAACACAAGTTCAAAAATATTATAGTGATTCGTGATAAATTATTAAAATGATTTAATAATTTTAAATAATATTATTATAATTTAATGCAGTTATGGAGATTATTATGGTAAAATGGTATTTCAGATTTAGGTAAAAAGTACTGTGTCTTCATTCATTACGAAAGATTATAAATAGGGAACGTGAACTAAATTTCAAATGATAAAAGCTATTATTTTTTTCAATTGTCAAAGTAGTGATAGTCTCTCTTTTTTTTTTTTCATTTTATAATCTAAAATATATAATTAAATCTACTCTTTTTTTAAAGTTTAATTATAGTGAATTACTTAAAAGATTTAAAAACAATCATTTCAGTGTTCGTCTTTAATTAAAATTAGAATTATACCTTAATAACCAATATAGTAAAGATCAATATTAAGGATGATCTAATTTAAGAGATAAATCCTTAATTTGAAATAGAGAAAAATATCAAATGTATTTAAGATATTGCATATAAGTTTTATACTTAAATAATCTCTTAAATGTACCGAAGGATATAAAAAATTTAAGAGTACAAGTGATCGACTCTTACTTTTAAAAAGCATATCTGATTTTTTTATTATTTCTTTAAAGCATATCTCATATTTTTATTATTTCTTTTTACACTCGACAGTGGAAGTGAAAATTGCATTCCTTTGATATACTAAGTTGCTCCAAAATTCATAACCGAGGTTATTTTTACAATCTCATGGTCAAATCTCTAAATTACTTTATTCTCAAATCTCATAAATCACTTTAGCTACACATAAGTCTAATCACCCCTTAGCAATCATTTGAGTTTCAGATGAACTACATTAAGTAATTATGAACAAGTTAAAATAGTGAGAAGTTTGCACAAGTTGCAGTACTATTTTTTTCGCGTACCTCAGTCTAGTTAAATATAAAATGACCATTTTATGCGTACATCAGCTGTCAATTTTTTAAAAGAAGATAATGAGAATGAGTGTACCCTGTCGAATAGGCTAGACGAATGAAAATAGACCAGCACTAGCTGGCACTGAAAGTTTAGACTGTTTTTTTTCGAAAAAGATCCCTTCATGATTAGGTGTATTTTTATAATTTTACTTTAAGTGAAACATAAAAATTATTTTGATATATTTTTGTAAGTTTGCTTAAACAAATAAAATTTTACTTAAACAAAATTAAAAAAATACACCAAAATGATTCTCATATTCGATTTCGATGTTCTGATCCGTTTTTTTCCATCAGATTTAGAAGTATTATGGTTAAGCTATGTTTCGCACTCAAATAGTTAGGAACCCGCAACAAAACATACCTACCACTTTTGCTTAGAAAGTGATAGCTCCGTACAGTAGAGTCTCCGTACTTTTCCAGATTTTATTAAGTATTTAATGGATTCACCCGTTGATAATTTCTATTAATCTTATAGTTTTATATAAACGATATAAGAATATAGAGTTTTACAAAATAACATGGTGAAATATGAATTGACACAATTTTTCTATTGAAATTTGATGATTTTTTTTACCAGAAAAATTCTATTTTAGACCTATTAATATCCTCGTCATTTTAAAATAATTTAAACTTAATTTTTATTTATTAAAATTATTATTTTTTATTAATAATTTAAAAAAATTACTTAAATTAGATCACTTATATTAAATACATATAAATATAAATAACTCATATAAATTGTATAAATAATATGTAACTCATCTTGTATTATTAGAAATATAAAATTTCTAATAATCTCTCATTTGAGTTATATATTTATTTTGACATTTATATCACACAAAAATTTAAATGCATAATTGTATATTATTTACTTTTAGACAGTACTTGAACAATCTATTCCATTTTATATAAAAACAGAAAATCACTATAACTTTTATTATATTTCAATCTAATTAAACTATAATAATTACCATAGTCACATGTATTTCAATTACATAAATCAAATATTGATAAATGACATAAAAATTACATGTAATGTAATTTTAATCAGATTTATTTCTAACTAGTCCAAACTTTAAACTTTATAGAGATCAATTTAAAGTTGCAATGTAATTATCGCATAAAATAAATTCATAATATAAACACATATTTAGGTACTAAGCCCTTAGTAAGTGGATCGGCTAGTATAAATTCAGTTCCTATATGTGCTATACAAATTTGCTTATTCTAAACTCTTTCCTTAACAACCATAAACTTGATATCAATAAATTTTATGATACTTTTATGATACTGTTTAGTTTATGTTTTGTTTATATGTGTTTATGTGATAGTTGGCTATGTGTTTAATTTCATTTAGTACTTTAAATTTGGGTATTTCAAGTATATATGGTTATTGGTGGTTTAAACATGTTTTGATGTGTAATGGATGCAATGGTAATTACATGGGATAGAATTACATGATGAGTACTACTTGGTGGAGTTATTGAAAATTTTTCATGTTAGAAAATGATTTGAGGTAGTACCATTCAATTTGTGGAAAGTGGTTGGAGATACTCAAATGGGCCATGTTCTGAATTTAGGAATTATTTTAAAAAAAGTAAAGAAAAATGAATTTTTGTGAATGGGGATTTTTGTGAATGTGAAAAGTTGAGGTTTGAATTGAAAGGAAGTTAGGATGTTTTGTGCATGGAAACAATCAATTAGGAAATATGAGTAATTCATTTATCTTAATCAAAGAAAAATGATTTCAGATAAAGGAGTGAAAGTGTGAGTACCGTAAATAAGTGAATAAACTTCATTGAATTCTGACAGTTAACTTTGCTCGAGTTTCTAATTGCTATATAGCACAATCGGTCATGGAGATGATTGGGGCATAGTTTGTAAATACAGTTTTATAGCTAGAGCCAAAAAGCCTACCCATATTCAAGATTTATCCAATTTTTGAAAGCTCTTGAGCCTAAAAGCAAATTTTTTATTATTGTATGTACCTCAAGCCTTTACATGAGAATTATTATTTTCCATACCTTTAAGAAGGAGCATTAGGGCATGATAGCTCTTTATGAGTTGGTGGTATATGGTAAATTAATGATTGAAGTTTTCCTCTAAAATAAAAAAAAAATAGAAGGAAAAGAAGAGAAAAATGTTGAAATTAGAGGGAGACATTCAAGGGTTAACAAAAATGTGGTGTTAATTAGAATGAGGAAAAATAGAGATGGAAACCTACTAATAGATGATGATCTTGATTGTATTAATACTCTAACTCACTTTGAATTCCAGAAAAACAATGAATTATTTGTAAGCATAGCCACATTACACCTTTTTTGAAAGACCCTATGATCTATGTCTTTTGTGTATACTTAGTTTGATGGGAAACAAAGAGCAAAGTCAAACTTGAGGGATTCATGGAAGAGAGAGAAACACTAAATTTGTGAGAATAAGAGGATTTTTCTTTTGATTATTGAATGATATTACTCTTATTTTCTTGAAAATGAAGTGCACTAGTATCCTGATTCTTCTAAATGTATAACCAAAATCTTTGATCATGAACGATTCCTTTCAGTTGAAAAGTTCTGAAAAATCTTAGATGATGAACATGAAAGCAATTATGATTGTTTTTGTGCATTTAATTACTTTGGTTGAGGACAAGCAAGATTCTAGGTTGGGGGGAGTTAATAAGTGTATAAAATAAGTGATTTGAGATGGTGACTTGAACACTTTTTATGTTAAAAGTTGGATTATTTTGTTAAATTCTCTTCAAACTTGGAACTTTTACAAATACATATATATTTTTAGAAATGAATGCAGTTTTAGTATTTTCATCCCTTTTTGATTTATTTTGTAGCTGGAATCAATAGAGAAACGTCATTTAAAGTTAAAGAAAAACTTGATAAAGTCAGAAAAAAAAAGCATCTAAAGCAT